GCTCTCATTGAGTCACAAATGATATGCTCTTATCATGTGATCGTGGTTGTATCTCTATGTAGTGCGTTGTTAACTCGTGTAGTGAGTTACCTCCTGTTGTGGATCAATCACGCTGTGTTGTGTGGTGTGAACAGCTAAACAACTTGAACACTCATGATTTCACTGAGAGCAAGTCATGTAGTGTAAACTGCACAGTTCAGCCCGACATTTTAAAATCATGTAGTGTGAACTAGGCTTTAGTGTCCCTAATCCTTAATCGATGGCGGTAATACTCCTAAGCGGTGAGCAGCCGGTAACAAGAAGTAGTCGAAGGAGAACGTCCTCAGCTCAGTTCTCGCGCATGCGCCCATAAGGAAGTAATGGAATAGTCGAATAAAGTCTTTATTTATGTTTTTTTTTCGCACAAAAAGTAGTCTCGTCGCTTGATAAACTTATAATTGAGCCGCTGTAGGCACATGGAATATTTAAACCTTTTCTTTAATGACTTTATGGGTCTATGTAGGACTGATCCAGCTCTCAGATTCAATCAAAAATATCTTTATTTGTGTTCCGAAGATGAACAAAGGTCTTACGGGGTTGGAACAGCATGGGGGTGAGTAATTAATGACTTAATTTTCATTTTTGGGTGAACTAACCCTTTAATACATTTATTCATTTATTTATTTTCAATTTTTTTTATTTCCACATTCATTTATGTTTTTATGTCTACATTTATTTTTCACATTTATTTATTTCTACATTTATTTCCACCTTTATTTATTTCTACATTTATTTATTTCAACATTTCTTTTTCTGTATGCTAATGAGGGAGGCATGTTTTAACTCAATCATTAGCAATCGAGCTCAGAGTGGCAGTGCTGAAGCTTTGAGGCCACAGTGACACCTTGTGGTGTGTGCCCAAACGAAACACAAGAGTTGTCATTTTAAGTCATGTATATCACCCTAACTGTATGTAGGGTAGGCTATATAGCAGTGATCTCAAACTCAATTCCTGGAGGGCCACAGCTCTGTACCTTGAACCTTTTGGTTCCCACTGAAGTGCATTATATGAAGAGTTCAGATGCAAAAGCCTCTAAGAGCCATTTGAAATTTTCTTCTAAAATGATCATTTTTATCAAGCTTGTATATTTAAGTTAAGTAATTTCACTTAAATGGCAATAAAGATTACCTATTAATTGTCATTTAAGTGAAATTACTGAACTTAAATATATAAGCTTGATAAAAATGACCATTCTAGAAGAAAATTTCAAATGGCATTTAGAGGCTTTTGCATCTGAACTCTTCATATGGAGAAAAATGCTGGAATGTTTTCATCAAAAACCTGAATTTCTTTTCGACTGAAGAAAGAAAGACATGGCCATCTTGGATGACATAGGGGCGAGTAAATTATCAGCAATTTTTTTAAAAAAAAGTGAACTACTCCTTAAAAATAGTATATGAGTATTTATTAGAGGCTTTTGCATCTGAACTCTTCATATGGAGAAAAATGCTGGAATGTTTTCATCAAAAACCTGAATTTCTTTTCGACTGAAGAAAGAAAGACATGGCCATCTTGGATGACATAGGGGCGAGTAAATTATCAGCAATTTTTTAAAAAAAAAGTGAACTACTCCTTAAAAATAGTATATGAGTATTTATTAAACTAAAGAAAAATGCTCTTCCGGTCACTCCAACTTCAACTGGATCTACTGTAATAAATTGTTCATACAAATAAATAACATTCAAGGATATTTCTATCATCCTACATAGTTGCATTGTACAAATACATTTTATCTGACCAAGTAACTTGTAGTAGATACATTACAATTACTACCACTACTATTATTACTAATAGGCTGCTACAAGGCTAAGGGGGTTTCAGTGTCCCCGTAAAAAAATGTTGTGCATTTTAATGTTTAATTCATGTTTAAATTCAAATTTAAATGTTAAATTCATCAATCTGGTGCAATTCAGTGTGCAAATTGAACAAATAAAAATTCAAACCTCTTTTAGTTGCAGTGTCTGTCTACATTTCACTACTACATAATAGGCTATTGTAAAACAAATGCACTGAAAAATAAAGGAAACTTTCATAATTAGTTTTGTACAAATTTCTACACTTGTAAGTAAGCTATATATTTGGAAGCAACTCAGCACCACCAATTAACAAAACAAAATGAGTGGTCTGCCAATATACGAGTTTTATGGGCCGTTAAGACAAAAAAAAATTGAAAATAAAAGTAGGCTATGAGATCTATCTGCCCAAAAAGCACTTTGGTCACTGGGAATCTCCTGGTAGTCCCGATGGCCAGTAGGCTTAAATACCTGTGCACAATACTAAGTACATTTATTTCGTTTGACACCTTAATGGCTGAGATTAAAGGACTTACCTTTATACTGGGCTTTCTTTTTATTTTGTTGCCATCTCTGTTTTCGTCCCTGTGCACCAGAGGGTTTATACCACTTCATTTTCGATCAACCCACCAGCAGCTGAGCACTTGCCTACGGAACACAACCCCTGGAAAGAATCGACAATAATCATCAATTCAATCTAATAATCAGTAATTAAGCAAGTAATTAAACGTGTGGCGACTTAATGATCATGTTTAATAAACATATTTTTGTTTTGCTTGTCATTCCAATTCTGTGATTTCTCGATTAATGGGAAACAGCGGAGAATGTGAAGTAGGTCAAGGGCGACAATAGAGCGCGCCCGCGCCCCCAGCACATTTGGCGTCCTAGGCAACCGCCTAGTTCGCCTACAGCAATCGCCGGCCCGGCAGCCACCCATCCGCACAAAACAGTGCCTGGTGTCTTGAGAACGCACTCCCTGAAATAGGTTCGAAGGTGCAAACGATTATCCTTTATCTCTGTGCAAGCCTCAAAAACACAAAACTCGCAAAAATCTAGACGGTGCGCACATGCGTATTACGTGTTCAATCCATAGGTATGCGTGTTTGGATATGTGTGCAGGCGTGTAGTCCTTCTCCACAAATCACCCAACAAACTACTTGTCTGGTCTTAAAAATGTATACATTTTCTGAATTTTTGTCGCGTCTGCGTAGCCACGCGAACCGGAATTATCCACACAACGTTTTATCTGTACAGAGGTAAAGGGAGGGAGGCCTTCACTGGGGAGAGACTAGTTGACACTTCAGGACGTTGTCATCGTGCGATGGTCCTTCATCAGATCTGGATCCGGCGGACTGCGGTAAACCTTGGGATAAACAGAGAGAGTACATCATGGTTTACTATAGGAAGTGTTCCCGGTTCCGGCTGATCTAAACTATGTAGCCTAACATTGAATTTTTGAAGTCTATAATGTGTTATGTGTATGCTAGGCCAAAGAGATGTGTTTTTAGTCTAGAATCAAATAGTCAGATAGTTACAATGCAGTTTAAAATAAATGAGAAGCGTTGTGGAAAACAATACCTCAAATTTTCCGATTCACAAACACAAATGGAGAAACAATTGAATTGGGCTATGTAGCTATCCCCTGTTAAAGAAGTTGACTAGCCTACAGCATGAGCAGACGTGTTTTCTTGCCTTTTTTTTTTTCTTCATGGTAGCTACATCTTTTGATGTAATCCTATATTAAAGCGCAGCTGCTAAAATGGGGCACAGAATAAACTAGTTGCTTTTATTTTAAAGGGGACATATCATGCTAAATCCATTTTTTTAGCCCGTAAATGCATTTTGTTGTATATTTGGAGTGTTTACAGAATAGTTTTAATTAGTCTCTTCGGGTGCTTCGTTGATATCTTTATATTCTGTTTTGGTCATATTTTTTAACCTGTTTCCGATTTTTCTATGATCCATGACGTTTTTTAAACAATTACGTAATAATATTTGCAGCGGAACTGCCAAATAAAGACATCGACTCCATGCCCAACACTCCGCCATTTGTATTTCTCGCTGCAAATTTGTAGTCCAAGATTAAGGATGTAGAAGTTGCGAGAGAGTAAGTCAAAATGTTGGGTTGATAAATGTAGTAACCCACACCGTTCATTACACTGTCGCCCAGCATCAGAACCTCTTCAAAGTGCCTGGTTGAGTTATTTTTCACGGAAATGTACCCACATCTGTGGGTGTAGTCATTTTGTGTGCGCGAAGCACTACAAGGATAACTAGACTTCAGCAATCTCCGCCAGTATAAAGAAGGATTTGCCGATACTTTGTCTGATTGAGGGGCCAATTCCTTTTATCTTTGGAGACGACGAACAGAGCACTTCGGTAAGCTGTAAATAACATTAATAAAAATGCAGTACTTTACTTTGTTAAAACACACGGTGATCATGGTTTAGCAGCACCTTTGTCTTAAGTAACTAACACGTCTGTAGCAGTATTACCTTTGTTTCATCATGACAATGATTATTCACTGTGTTTTCTGATGCTTTTCTAAACGTAGCATATTATTATCAATACAGATTTTTAGAAGTGATTAAGATTAGGTAAGATAAGGCCATCGTCATTTGTCTTGTTAGTTTGCATGTTTTAACTAGAAAAATAATCGACTTTATTTAGAGGGCTAAACCAACAAGGCACAAACCAACATTTGCTGACAAAGGCTGTCAAACAAAAGCTTGCTATAAAACACAGCTTTCACAGCTTTCTATGAAAACTCTACCTCATGTCAAAAGTACAGGTTAGCAGGGTTGTCATCTTTATTTTCATCTCGCTCTGGAGGCTGATTCTGCATCCAATAAGGCTTGATGGACAAGTCTTCCGTTGCTCTCAGACGCACATCAGAAAAGGGGTAGATAAGGGGCCTGTGGAGCTATGCTTATGAGGAATTCAGACCCAAGCATTGCAGTTCGGCTTTATATAGACCACAAATGTATGGTTTATTTGCAAAAAGGAATGATATAAAAGCATGATATGTCCCCTTTAATACTGGGATAAAGCTGGGATGGCAGATGGGGTGGCAATGCTTTTTTTATGTGGCAGCCCGGGAGATCCGCCCCTGAATTGTTGTCAGGTTGCATTTTTGATTACACTAGTCTTGTGGTTTGCACTGACAGGTCGCAGAGGAGCTGCAGAATGGACCACTGGAAGACGATGAGAGAGAGCTTTTAACACTTCTTACCACTCCACATGTGAAGGTGTGAAAGTCACTTGTGCCTTCTATAGAGATTTCTCTAACTGTGTGTATATGTGTCTTTTTGGTGAATTATCTCATCTCTAAATACAATTTATGATATTTTTAGAAATAAGGTCAGAAACAGTTGCTCAACATCGATATGCAGATTCTGTTACATTTATGAGGCTGACGCAAAAACTCCTGTTAAATCGGTATTTAAAAGAATATTGGCCTAATTACGCTTAAATAATTTAATTGTGTGTGGCATGAAAAAAAATAGAATCAAATTTGCATTTTACGGTGTTCTAATTGGACTCTATCAATTCCTACATCTCTGTCTGCATATCAATTATGTCTCCCTTTTACACACGTGCACATTCCTGTTCCACAGCACTAGTGGATTATCCTGTCAACTTTATATATGATTATTCTCTCCATGACCCATCAGGCAGTGCTAGCAGTACATGACACAGTTGCACAGAAGAATTTTGAGCCTGTGCTCCCCCCTCTACCAGACGATCTAGACGATGAACTGGAGGAAGAATCAGTGAAGATTGTGCGTTTGGTGAAGAACAAGGAGCCTCTTGTGAGTTTCAGCAAAAAACAAAAAAACAAAAAACATTTTGTTAATACAACAATATAAAATACATTTTGATGGTTGAGCTGTTTTGTCTATAAAATTGCTATTCTGTCCACCATCACCAAGACATACAAAATATAGTCTTATATAACTTTTGCAATCGATTGTCTCTTTTAGGGTGCGACCATCCGCAGGGACGAGGTAACTGGAGCGGTGGTGGTTGCTAGGATCATGAGGGGCGGGGCTGCAGACCGTAGTGGTGAGTGACTGCCTGGTCCCTCCCCTTCTCACCATAACCTTTTTTGGCCCCACTTTATATTAAGTGGCTTTAAGTACTATGTACTTACATTTAAAAATAAGTACAATGTACTTATTGTGCTCATGTTGTATTGTAAATCACTTTTGGTGCTATTGAGGTGGGATACGGGTAAGGTTAGGGACAGGTGTGGAGGTATGGGTAGGTTTAAGGGTAGATTTAAGTGTAAGGGATGGGTCAGCTGTGTAATTACAGATGTAATTACATAAATTAATTACAGCTGTAATTACATGCTGGTATTTTTTAAATATAAGTACAATGTAAAAACATGTATGTTCACAATAATTCCTTTGTATCAAATTATTAATTTCAATGTAAGCACATGGTACTTAAAGCCACTTAATATAAAGTGGGACCCATTTTTTTTTTTAATCCGTGGCAACTGTGTTTTTACACTGTGGCCAGACAACTATCTCAGCAGATTTGATGTAACATAATCTGCAATGACGCAATCAGGGACCATCTAAATCAAAAACTGTCAATCTGTAAAACCATGACAGACGATTTAATTCTCAATGGAGAGATAAAGTGAGAGAATTGAATAACCATTTATTAAATTATTATGCAAAGCATTTACTAAGAATCTCTCCTATTAGAAATAAAAACTGATTAAAAAAATAGAAATCAAATGAAATTAAAATTACTGTAGATGTCAGGAACCAAGGAGACTGTAATCACAGCAGAATCATTATTTTCTTGATATTAAAAGCATTTATAGCAGCTTTTTATGATCACAAGCAAAATATTGACTAAAATCCTTGAGATTATGATTTGCTTTGGGATTACAGATTATACTGGAAATATACAAAGCTACAGATTTCATGGTTGCCATGGAAATTCTGCTGAAATATGATGTGCACATTGTGTGCAAGGTTGTTCTATTGAATACATCCGTTAGAATGCATACAATGTTATAACATTCAATGAAGAAAAAAAAAAACAAGATTGGGAAATATTTGTAGATTATGTTTTTCTATACAGTGGATTGCACTGTATAGAAAAACTGAGACTAATCTTGTATTTAATCCTGAAAATAGACTGTTTGAAACTTTTTGGTAAATTGGTAAATCCCAAAACTAAGAAATGTTAAATAGGTTACAGGTTGTAGGTTATAATTTTGTACTATTTATTTGAATTATTATAAATTATAAAGATAATATTTATAGTTTATAAAGTATATAATATATAGTATAATGTTATGAAGATAATATATTATGTAAAATGTTGTATTAAAGGGACACTTCACCACTAGCAAAATAGGCTTTCAATTAAACTTGGCTGATTGTACAGCAGAAAGGTGAGGGGGAAAAGGTGCTTCCTGACTTGAGAAAATAGAGAAAAAAGGCTGGTGTCTTCCTTTTTGCCAAATAGGTAGAAAGAGGTCAACATCCATAATGCACTGGGCATGTTGCCGACCATGGCCAATTGTAGTAATTTACAAAGTACTGTATGCGAGTCAACTATTTTTATTTGCTTTGATGAAAAGTGTAATTTATATATATATATATATAAATTACATTTAAATATATAAATTTATATATATATATATATATATATATATACAGTATATATATAAATTACGGTTTATATATATAAACCGTCTAAACATTTGATGATGTGAGCGAAATACTGGAGTGAACATGGCTGTTAAAGACTTTTGCAGATTATGTGAAGTTAATCTACGCATCCACGGTACAATTACGGCTTCTAAACTTATTAATGCCAGAGTGAAATAAGAAAATATTTGTAGCCGACTCTCAAACTTAAGATTAGATCTTTTAAACACAGCTCTTTGTTCCTCACGAGTCTGTCGGAAATGCTGCAATTTAATTTAAAAATTACAGAATGACATGGAAATATTTAACGACTTGAAAAGAGAGGTGCATGCATGCATCCTGTGTCTCGTTTCCCATTTCGATTTCTCTAACCTACAATGTAAAACTCGGCGTTTAGCATCTACGTCACGGCTCTCAGACCGCCATCTGTTCGTTGATTGGCCGGCAGTCCGAAGGCCGGTGGAAAACTGAAAGATAGGCTGCTATCTCAGACTGACTACAGGAGTGAAATGAAATTAGTAGAAGTAGGAAGTCTGACATAGTCAGGTTACAATTCAGTGTGCAAATTGAACAAATATTACAGTATCTGTCTACATTACACTACTACATAATAGGCTATTGTAAAACAAATACACTGAAAAATAAATAAAAAACTGAGAAACTTTCATTATTAGTTTTGTACAAATTTCTATACTTGTAAGTAAGCTATAAACTTGGAAGCAACTCATCGCCGGAATTAACAAAACAAAACGAATGCACCCAGGGCCGGCTCTAGGTTATTTGGTGCCCAAGGCGAGAGTGCCCCCCCCCCCCCCCCCCCATATATATATATGTAAGCAATAAGGTACGAGAGGCTGTGCTGTATCGTGAATAAGTAACGGCTGAAGGGCGTTGTTAGGCACGACGTTGAGTTCCGTCTTGGTGATTTGTTTAAAATATGCTGCAACCGTTTTCACTACACCAGTCACCGAAGCATTTCACTGCACATTGGTATATGTGTGGTTGCTAAGGGTGTTGCTAAGGGCGCAGTGATAACTAGAACCGTTGGGTGAAGCGGTCATTGCCGTGTTTTATCGTGAATAAAGCACAGCTCTTGACCAATCAGAATCAAGGATTGGAACTAACCGTTTTATAAGTAAGCAATAAGGTACGAGAGGCTGTGCTGTATCGTGAATAAGTAACGGCTGAAGGGCGTTGTTAGGCACGACGCGAAGCGGAGTGCCTGCAACCCCTTCAGCCGTTACTTATTCACGATACAGCACTTGCCTCGAGTACCTTATTGCTTTTATAAAACGGTTGCCACACAATATTACAATAAAAAACAATGTATTAGTGCAACTTTTTAATGTAGTTTAATCAATAAAAACATTCCTTCCGCTAGAAAAATATAGTCCCTGGCTGTGAACAACAACGTTCCAATGTGTAATATGCAGGAAAGCTCAAATAAAAACAACAAAACCATTCTCAAACTTTGTCTCATTCTTTTTATTTTTTTACAACACAAAATTTGTGAAATTTCCTCACACAAATAGGCATAGCTTATCTCTCAGCAAACTAACAAATAAAATAATAATAAAAAACACAAGGGCACATATTTTGATAGATAACAGTTAGGTCTTTAATCTAGTTATTAATTTAGTTGCTTAAATGCTGCCTAACAAGAGATACTTTATTTATTGTTGTTTATTTAAATTTATTTGAACATCTCCGTTTATTGTGCACGCATTAAATATTTGACTAATTTCAATCGACTCCGCTGTGGTGATATAACCTCCTCTTTAGTTGGGGCTCAGCGCTGTCAGCGGTGTTTTCTGTTGAATGTCACTCCAGTGCTTTCTTTGTTTTAAGTTTGGCCTCCACTTTACTTTTACACTTATGTCCACTCACAGACATAATTTAAAAAGGCTAAAATGTTTAAAGTAAATTTCGATTTATATAGGTGGCATGACGATGGATAAGTGGTTTGAGGAACAATTTGGAGAGACTTCTACAAATACGAACTGTCATGCTGAAGTGCTGAAATGTAATACATTCGAGAAGTGATGAAATGAAAAAAATACCGTGCAGCAAACCCAATGGGCAGTGAAATGCTTCGGTGACTGGTATAGTGACAGGTTGGGATTAAGCGCATCGGACAGTTTATGGTCCTGAAATCTTTAGTAGAAATCGGTGTGTGTTTCATCACGACCCTCTCTTCTTATTGTCTTTACGACTCCACCGAAAACATTATTGGATGAGGTGAATTTGCTGTGTCTCTTCAGACACCAGGACAAACTCAAAGGTGGATCATTCAGGAATCTGTTCAGACCCGCGCGTAACGCTACATAGCTAATGATCCCATATTTTTCTCCTGTGGAGCTTCTGACGCCGGTTTCACACCGCACGTTAGCAGAGCGTCAGCAGCGCGTATTTTTTTCGGCGCCCATGTTTATTAGATTAGATTAGAGCATTCACACCGCACGCAGAGGCGGCGCGGCATCGCGTAGCAGGAGCAGAGCAGGAGCAGCAGTGCCGCGATCGTTTCGGCGTTCTTTCTATTTTTGCCGCGCGGCTTACGCTGAATTAAAGCAACATTGCATTGATCATGGCCAAATTAACGCTCTGCTAACGCGTGCGGTGTGAAACCGGCGTGACAGTTCCGTAGAAGTCACGGATGGTGCGTTGAGTTCCGTCTTGGTGATTTGTTTAAAATATGCTGCAACCGTTTTCACTACACCAGTCACCGAAGCATTTCACTGCACATTGGTATATGTGTGGTTGCTAAGGGTGTTGCTAAGGGCGCAGTGATAACTAGAACCGTTGGGTGAAGCGGTCATTGCCGTGTTTTATCGTGAATAAAGCACAGCTCTTGACCAATCAGAATCAAGGATTGGAACTAACCGTTTTATAAATATATATATAAATCCGGCATAAATCTGAACATTTTTACACAGAAATGAAGGCCTAGCACTAGAGCATAAATGCAATGTATCATAAAAAATAATATTTTATATGCAAGCTAATGGTGTAGTTAAGGAATTGTACGGTAAATGGATAAAATTTTATATCTCCAAAAACACAGCATTAATGAATAGATGAGAAGTAAACAAAAAAATATAATATTTGTATGATTAAAAATGTATATTTTTTGTACAATTACTCAATAAATTGTTGGGGTGATATGAAGAGTTCAGATGCAAAAGCCTCTAAATGCCATTTAAAATTTTCTTCTTTAGTGATGATTTTTATCAAACTTGTATATTCAAGTTCAGTAATTTCACTTAAATAACAATTAATAGGTAATCCTCATTGCCATTTAAGTGAAATTACTGAACTTAAATATACAAGCTTGATAAAAATGATCATTCTAGAAGAAAATTTCAAATGGCACTTAGAGGCTTTTGCATCTGAACTCTTCATACCCCGAAGCCCAGAAGTGTAAACAGGAAACGAAGACCAATTGAAGGTATAATGCCGACGAACTAGTGCTGATGAAAGCCGATGTCGCCTCTCGTCCCCTCTCGTCGGGGTAAAAAGCTGCACTTGAACCATGACTGAAAGAGAACAGGCGACTGTCTGTCAGCTAGAATGTGCGTTCTGCGTTTGCGTGCAATGAGCCAACTTTCTATTTCTGCAGCTATATTAGTCTATATTCGTCATTCAAAAAGCAAAACCGACGCTGCCGCCGCACTGCAGATAACGTTACACATAACGTAAACAAAGCAGTGCATGCTTACCGTTTTGAATATACGCGGGCATCCCCTTGTCAACATGTCGAATCGGGCGAAACAAAGCCGACGAGGACTATTTTGAGCCGACGGCACGGAACCGCGTGGAACACACCGAGGAAACTAAAGCGCTAAAACCTGCTGTCAGATGTTTTCGCGCCACTCCCGGTTGCTGAGCAACGCGCGTGAGTTTGACAGCTGCTTGTCAGAGTGACTCAGTCGTTTTTTAGGATTGTATAATCTTGTAAAAGAAATTTACAAAAACAAGCAGTGTGTGGACAATGCACAGTAAGTGTACAGCGTGTGTGCAGCTTTCATCATACGATATACATTTAATTAACTTTTTTTTTTCAATTCTGCAATTTGCGCCCCGTCCAGCAGATGGCGCCCCAGGCGGCCGCCTGTGTCGCCTGTCGGCAAAGCCGGCCCTGAATGCACCAGAGGGTTAATACCGCTTTATTTTCGATCAATGCACCAGCAGCTGATCACTTGCCTAATGTATCGCAACCCCCGGAATTAATCGACAATAATCATCAATTCAATCTAATAATCAGTAATTAAGTAAGTAATTAAACGTGTGGCTAAGGGGACGCCTTTGGATGATCATGTTTAATAAACAATATTTTTGTTTCGCTTGTAATTCTAATTCTGTGATTCTCGATTAATTGGAAGTAGGACAGAATGTGAAGTAGGTCAGGGGCGACACACTAGCGCGCTCGCGCCCGCAGCACATTTGGTACCCTAGGCAACCGCCTATTTAACCTATAGCAATCACCGGCCCTGCCCGCGCAGAGACTGCACTCACAGAGACTAGCTGCTTTCACAGCGAGAAAGAAAGCTATCCCACCTCGCACGCTTTCCCATTATCGTCCCCTTTCGAGCCGAGACAGAAGAAACAGCATAGCCACGGGACGGAGCAACAGGGCTGCAGCGAGCTCACATTGGCCCAGTGCCCGCATGCCCTGCTCTTCATATGTGATGACCAATGCCCGTTTTCTGGCTGTGAAAAACAGTGTGTTCACCTCCCAACCCCCTGTTCAGTTCTGTTCCGTGTTTGTTGCCAGTACTGGTCCCCCATCACCCGTTGTAAGGGCACCCAGACGTGTTCTCCCCCTTGTGTGCACTCAGCCTCCTTTGTGTTATTACAATCTCTAGCTCCATAGAATGTAATGATATTCTGATAAACACAACACTTAACCTTGAAACAAATCCTCTTTCAGCCCCTTGCCCAGGGGATTGTTTTTATCAGTGTATTTGAAGGATCTAAGGACATACTTTCACATCCAGATAGACCCCCATCACAGACAGTCCTTGAGATTCGCATTTGAGAGGGTGGTTTATCAATGGACAGTCCTGCCATTTGGACTGTGTCTAACTTCGAGCACTTTTCCGAAATACATTGATGCAGCTCTCACCCCACTGAAACAGAGGGAAATTTGCATCCTGAATTACCTCGGCGATTGGCTGCTTTTAACCCAATCGAAGGAGGAGCTGTGCGCTCACAGGTATCTGCTCCTCAACCACTTAGAATGCCTGGAATCAACCTGAGAAAAAACTCGCTGTCACCCAGCCAACGCATTGCTTTCCTTGGGGGGAGTACTCGACTCGTCTGACATGCAGGCTTGGATCTTGCCGGGTCGCTCCCTGAAAATTCAGTAGCTAGCGACGGCTTTCAAACCAGGGAGCAACCTCCCTTTAAAAACATTTCAGGAGCTACTGGGCCTCATGGCAGCTGCCTCCTCAGTAGTTCCCTTGGGCCTGTTATACATGCGGCCTCTACACCACTGGTTGAAGGCCTGCATCCCACCTTGAGTGTGGCGCGAGAGTTGTGTTCTTTTAAGGGTAAGGCAAGGAGGCTAAATCCGCCTCACTTTTACTCAGTCCCTTCCTGGGACCTGTCCATTGTTCTGAGGGCACTCAGAGGTCCTCCATTTAAGTCACTCTCGACAGCCAACTTTCGGCCTCTTTCACTAAAAATTGCTCTCATGCTGGCTCTGGCATCGTTCAAATGAATTGGTGATCTGCAGGCTCTCTCAATGGACCCTTACTGCTTTGAGTTTGGGCCTAACAACAGTAAGATGGTCCTTTTAAACCCAGACGAGGCTATGTCCCTAAAGTGCTCTACACGCCCTTTAGATTATGTCACTCTCTGCTCTCCCCGCTCTCCCCTTTCCCCCCACACCCCCTCTACCAGGTCTGGGCCCTTATGGTGTACATTGAGCACTCCAGCCAATTCAGGCAATTGGAGCAGCTTTTTCTGTGCATCGGAGGCCGCTCTAAGGGACTGCCAGCTACGATTCCCATTGGATAGTGGACCCAATATCGCTAACCTACAAGTCCCTTTAACCTAATGTTTCTAGACTTGCTATACCCTCAGACTCCGGTCAGTAGAGATGTGCGGATCAGCTCCAACATCACCAAAAGCAAATCATCCACCCGCCACTCACCCGCACCAATACATTTCTCTGATTTAGATATCTGCACCTGACCCACACCCGGTGGTCAAATTACAATTATTCTTACGTGTTAGGCGTGATGATAAATGAATGCTCACCTTCAAAAGTGGCCTATGCGACACTAGATTGCTGATGCGCCAACTCTAATGGTGACATAATTCACTGAGGAATGCTGCTTTTAATTGAACATTTATTTAAAACAAAAATTATTTGACAATTTTATTTCTTAATGGCATAAACACAGGCTTTACTCACTTGAAACTTAAACTGGGATGTCACTGTTATCACACACACACACACACACACACAGAGTGAAACATGTTCACTGTTTAGTCCAGTTATCATATCCAGCCGCAACACATCCGTCATTAATCAGAATGTTATTTTTATTACTTGACCCATCTGATTCATGGATGGCCATTCAGTGCGACCTATATAGGCAGTCGGCCCTGCCCATTCTGGTGGGCTGAAAGGTCAATTGTCTGTGAAATTCAGAGATGTGAACCAATCATTTTGGTTAAACACATAATATTAAATTTGTGTACAATTCAATCCAAAGGGCGTCTTAACAATAGATAGTACAATAACTACTTTCAGTTGGATTTAGTTTCATAAGTGATGCAGAAAAAATCCTATTGATATTTAAATGTGCTATTAAATCCATGTAAAATACATCTAAAACCATAATGGGTGTGTCTTGTACTGGTTCCTAGATGAACCACCATTTAGATGTTGGTTTTATTCACAGAACTAAAAAACAAAACTTACTATTGAAATGCAACAATTCGCCTTTGGCTAAGCCACGCCCTAGAATGTAGATTGACCAATCACAGCGCAGCCAAGAACGAGCTCCCACAGAGGTCTGACACTCTTTCACAGCGCTCCATTGACTTTCAACACAGGCGTCTCATATTTTTGGTCTCGGCTGGCTATTACCATCGTAGTTTTATCAAAAATATGGTTAACGTTGTGCCTGGGGCATTTAAAAAACACAGATACGCATTTCCCAGAGAGGAAGTGTCGTCTTTGGATTAAACTGTGTGGACATCCTCAGTCAGCTAAACCCCACAAAGATCAACAAGCACATCTTTTTTGCTTCTAACCTTACAGTTACGTTATACTAGACCGTTTTATAATGTTTTAGGTGATTTCGTTTCTCATACCAGTTGTTGATACACTAGCACACGCTGCTAATAAATACAACATTATACTCGTGTAGTCCGTTTGCTTTGTAATAACAATTATAGAAGTGAATAGAGACCTACCCAGCTTTGCATGACCAGTGTTACTCCCTGATATTGTTAGTCCCAGCCTCCGTCTCGATTAGTAGGATACGCGGTGTTTTATTTTTTTACTGTGACCGGTAAAGTTATGCTTTTGCCTCTATTTGGATGCCTTGATGTTTCTTGCGTTTCACCTGTATATAGATATTGAATATCTATATTGAATGCTATTGAATTAAATTCCAACCAGTTAATAAATTCATTTAAAATGCTTGAAGTTTTCCATCCAACTGTCTGTGTAGGGATATAAAAACACAGAAGCATTATCTGTAGTTTTACCGAAAGCCCTGGAGTTGAAAAAATAAATATGAGTTTTTTTCAGTTCAGGTAACACGGAATAGCTACAAGTAAACATTGTTTATTTACATATACTACTACCACATTGTAACAATACAAAGATTGTAACAATACAAAGCAGCTGAAAATTGGTTACACTTTAAATTAGAATGTGAAATATGTGTTTAGTATCAGACCTTCGGATCCAACTGTATTTTAAATGCACCATGATGACTCTTGACTGAATTCTCCTTCAGGTCTGGTGCATGTTGGAGATGAGTTGAGAGAGGTCAATGGAAATCTCATTATACACAAACGTCCTGAGGAGATCAGCCAGATTCTGGTGTGTTCACTATTCCTCTTTTGTTTTACAAAAGCTGAGTCATTCCCTTAAGATTTCTTATCTGAAAAGGCACTTACGTGATTTATTATCCTTGATTATTTTTGTTCGGCTTCAGTCTCAGTCTCAGGGCTCGATCACTCTGAAGATTATACCTGCCATTAAGGAGGAGGACAGATTCAGTGAGAGTAAGGTAAATGTAATCACATTATTTGAAAGTCATAGGACAGAATAAATAGCAGCTGCTGCAGTAATGTATGCAGTGTTATTTTATGTCTCTCTAAGGTTTATTTAAGAGCCCTGTTCAATTACACGCCATATGAAGACAAGGCTACACCCTGCCAGGAGGCAGGACTGCCTTTCACATGTGGGGACATCCTGCAGGTGGTGAGCCAGGATGACCCAACGTGGTGGCAGGCCAAAAGAGTGGGAGACAGCAACCTGCGTGCCGGCCTTGTTCCTTCAAGACAGTTCCAGGAGAGGTACACAACAAAAATCATGTCAACAGTTACCCTTTATTTACCATCAGCAGTCCCTAATAGACCAGCTGTCTTTAACATGCAGTGGCCCACAAAAAGTGTTCCCTTTCGTCCTGGGAACTCCAACGTGTCGTCGGGGAGTTCCCTGACGAATTGGGATCACGCTAGGGAGCCTGATTACCTCTGATAGAATTAACAACGAGCCAATAACCATTGGCATGCAATCTTTGCGCAAGCCTCCTACAAGCGCGGATATAAAAGTGGAAGTACATTGCATAGACGCTTTTTACTTCGGAGCCTCTCAGTAGTGCCTGTGTGCTGCTGTTCCTTACCTTTTGAAAAGAAATGAGATGGAGAAAAAAAGACTCTTTGACGGCTGCTGGTGTGACGGCGCTTGTGTGATCAACACGACTGAGAGCAGCACAAGGGCTTGCAGTTTCACCCGGAAGTGTCTGCCGCGCTGATCCCGCGGTGCTTCAGCGCTTCAAAGTGCTTCTTCTTCTTCATTTTTATTTTATTTTTCTTCTAAAAGAGCTCCACGGTGTGTTTGCGTCCTTTTCAGGATGTCGACTCACCCGTGCGTTTCTGGATGTGGTCGATCTCTCCCTCAGGAAGATGGCCATAAACACTGCCTCTCGTGCTTGGGCTTAGCGCACGCGGAGGCGGCGTTTGTGGATGAGTCATGCTCTCATTGCGGGAATATGACTCTCGCGATGCTACGTTCGAGACTGAGATCCCTGAAACATGGGGGAGTCCCTTCAGATAATCTCTGGTCTAGTTCGTCTGCGGGTTCAGTTCAGCACACAGCCACTTCGGTGACTCCTGTTGGTGAGCGAAAGAGGATTACTGTGAGAAACGCGACAGGTGAAAGATCCTGTCGGGCGCCTCATGCCTCTAGTTGCACGCTGCCGTCGGCGCTTCCGGTGGAGCGGCCGGAGCCCCGTCAGGCGGTTCCGTTTGTCTCCTTCGGCGCGCCCCCTGAGGATCAGATATCGATCGCTGAATTGGAGGAAGAGTGGTCTTCTGGTGAAGACTCTACGGCGCTGCCCCCTTCGGGTGTGGTGACGTCGGTGGAGCCTGACCCGGTTAATGGCCGCTATGCTCGAGCGGGCGGCCGCGAATGTCGGGCTTGCGTGGAACCCTCCACCGGGTCCCGAACCTTTGCGGCTAGATGATTGGTGCCTCGGGGCGCCGACCAAGACTTCCTCAACTCCTCATGCACTTCAGGAAAGAAAGGAACTGGAGCGGGCCGTGGGGAAACGGCATGACCCGCTCCAGTTCCTTTCTTTCCCGAAGTGCATGAGGAGTTGAGGAAGTCTTGGTCGGCGCCCCTGGTGCTTAGGCGGGGACAACCTCGCTCCTCCTTCCTCACCACCCTTGATAGCGGAGCGGCGCATGGGTATGAAGGAATCCCCCCAGTGGAGCGGTCTATCGTGATGCAGCTGTGTCCGAAGACCGCTTCCTCTTCGGCGACGCAGTGGAGAGTTTAGCTCAGGAGTTCTCCGCCGCCCAGAAGCAGTCGAAAGCTGTGCTGAATGCCCTGTGCAGGGGCCGTCTCCTGTGGCCATACAAGATCCGGCTGCTCCCCGTCGCTGAGGCCGTCCTCCGGCACCAGCTCCCCCTCCAGCGCAGCTTTTCAACCCTTGAGGCCGGAAGTCTGGTTGTAGGTTGACGGCCCAGCCTGCTCAGAAGCCCCGGCCCCTTGCCTTAAGAGGAAGGGAGGGAAGCTTTTCTGACTCGGGCAATCTGAGGGAGGTCCAGGAATCTGCTCTACAGGGGGGTGTCTCTGCACACCTCCTTTCCCTTGGGGAGGGCCGGGCGGAAAACTTTTTGGCTGTTCCGCCGTTGACCACACGATCAGCGGTAGCCAAAAGGTCTATAATAGAGCAGGTCATCTTTGGTGGAGACTGGCGGGCACACGGTCTCCTCCACCCAAGAGGGTCCGAACGGCAGTGGATGCTGTCTCCGAGCAGCATCGCTCTAGTTCCCCTTTTCCCAGTCTACAGATAGCAGCGAGGCTTCCTTGGTTGTGTCGCTCCTGTCGGCGGCTGGGCCTGGAGGGGCAGAGACCAGCTTACGATGAGGCAGGGCCTCGTGCTTCGCCTCTTCCCCTCCCCACGGGGCGGCCCGCAGCAGAAAGCCCACGGGCTCTCTCTGCCATCTGCCCCTCAGGGGAAGCAGGTTCCTGGTGAACTTCACGGCCAGACCCCGCTTCCAATGGCTACTTTGCCACTGGAGCCGGGTCGCTGCTTTCCACCTCGCTGCCCCTCCGTGGGTACGCCGGTGGTTCGGGTTGGCTCGTTGGATCGGGAAGACGTGTCATCCCTTCGCCATGTTGTTGTACCTTCGCGGAGGGCTGGACTCAGCGAGAAGCGTCTATGCAATGTTTACTTCCGCTTTTATATCCGCGCTTGTAGGCGGCTCGCGGAATGCAAAGATTGCATGCCAATGGTTATTGGCTCGTTGTTAATTCTATCAGAGGTAATCAGGCTCCCTAGCGTGATCCCAATTCGTCAGGGAACTCCCCGACGACACGTCTCCATTCCCTGTACTCAGGGAATGAGGGTTACATACGTAACTGAGACGTTTTCAGGGGTGTAATCATGATTTGTTTCTCTTTCCCTTCTGCAATCCTTCAGTCATTTGTATTTATTTGGATACATTTGAAGTCTGTCTCTCTACTGTCATCTACCGGTATATTACAAACAGGTTTGATAAAGCATAGATTAAACCCATTAACCCATAAGAACCCGGACCAATTTCCCCTTATAGGAAAATTATGGGGCATATAAAACAGACTAAATGGACTACTTAAAACTTAAATACAACCACTCCTACAGTCAAAGATCTTTAATGTTACATATATGTCACATTGGGTGTTTATGATACATATTTTTATGTTCCATATGTCACACTGGGCTTTTATTTCTCATTTGAAAAAAAAGTCAGTTTTCTCGCAAGATAATTGTTTTTTTTTCTGTTTATTTTCTTTTCCACAACATTTTCAAAATTGTAACTTTTCTTTGAAGATATGTTAAAAAAACCTTTTTCAGAAGTAATAGTTTTTGAATTTTATTTACTTTGCCACATATTTCAAAACCACAGTGACCATACAGTAACTGTGACCTTTTCAGGTAAACAGTTTAATCAGAAACATTTTTTTTGATTATTTTTTCACAACTCGAAAATATGCAAACTGAATAAAAATAAATGGTAAACCTTTATTTTACGACCCGCAAACAACTGCATAAGTAAACCGAAATTGCGGTGTACGTTTCTGTAATTATAGTGTACCTCCATGTAGGTATAAAGGAACAATATGTTAAGTTTTGGGTAATATATGTTATATATAATGTTATATATATGTTATAAAATATGTTATCAGTGTGAAGCTGCTTTGATACAATCTGTATTGTGAAAAGCGCTATATAAATAAATGTGACTTGACTTGACTTGACTTAATAAAGGGGTAAGTCAAGTCAAGTCATGTCACATTTATTTATATAGCGCTTTTCACAATACAGATTGTATCAAAGCAGCTTCACAGTGATAACATGAAAGTAGTACAACACAGATCAATAATATTGTTAAATATTAAATATAAAATATCACCAACTAAGCAAGCCAAAAGCAAGGCAACAGTGGCAAGGAACCAAAACTCCATCAGATTGGATTGAGAAAAAAACCCTGGGAGAACCCAGGCTCAGTCGGGGGCCAGTTCTCCTCTGGCTAACATTCATATTGTTTATATGTAAATATGAAATATAAATATTGTTTGGTAACACTTTACAATAAGGTTCATTAGTTAACAATAGTTAATGTATTAGCTAACATGAACTAACCATGAGCAATACATTTGTAACAGTATTTGTTAATCTTCGTTGATGTTAGTTAATAAAAATAAAGCTGTTCATTCTTTGTTCATGTTAGTTCACAGCACATTAACTAATGTTAACAAGATTTTAATAAAGTATTAGTAAATATTGAAATTATCGTTTGCAAACATTAATAAATGCTGTATAAGAGCTGTTCATCATTAGTTCATGCTAACTAATGTAGTTAACTAATGTTAACTAATGAACCTTATTGTAAAGTGTTACCTATTGTTTATATATAAAACGGCGCCAAAACATATCGGCGGCGTTGAGTCGTCTCTTCACAGGCATTGGTCTTCTCATCACAGGCGTTGGGGCATCCGAAATCCCTGTGAGAGGCTGGATACAAAACTGGACCTGACGAGCGCCATTTTTCTCGGGACAAGCGTCCCGAGATAACAGAAGAAAAAGGCAGATGGGAAATAATTAGCATAGCTGATGTTCATAATGATTTCCATTATACGGGAGTCAATGTTAGAAAACCACTATCTCACAAACTCTCCGCAACCCGAACTCTCCGCAACCCAACCATACGTGCCGACCCGTTTGTCTACGGGTAACAAGCGGATATACAAGCAAATTATTTAAAATGTAATAATTTTAAAACTAACAGGTACCTATTGTCACGACACACACAGGAGAGAGACAACAGATCCAATTGCAGTAAAATGTTCTTTTAATTGGGTAATCCATAAATCACAATCCAGTCCAGGCAGGGGTCAAAATCCAATAAGGCAATTCAAATACAAAACAAAAACAAGAAAAGATCAATACTAGAACCAAGCTTGAAATCCCAACAGAAGTGTGGGAAAAATTACAATGACTCTGTACACATACTAACACAGACAGGTAATATATACACATATCTAACAAGACTAACAAAGAACAGCTGGGAACAGTGATTACGGGGAACAGCTGAGTGCAATGACCTGATGAGTGACAGTGACAGACAGAATGCTGAGAAATGAAGTCAAATGACTGAAGTCACTCTAGTGATAAACAAGGGAAACACAACCAGACACTGTGACACCTATTCTGTTAATATATTCCAGGCAAAAATTGTACGTCTGTTGTATTTAAAATTATGTTCTTGTGCAATTTTACAAGTAATTTTGACATCTGTGGGTTGAAAATGAATACATATATATATATATATATATATATATATATATATATATATATAGAGAGAGAGAGAGAGAGAGAGAGAGAGAGAGAGATTTTTTTTTTTTTTAATTTTCAACACACAGATGTCAAAATTACCCTGAAATTGCACAAGAGCATATTTTGCCAGAAATTTGATGATAACTTTTAAATACAACAGACATACAATTGTTGCCTGGAATATAGGCTATTAACAGAATAGGTACCTGATAGTTTTAAAATAATTACATTTTAAATAATTTGCTTGGATATCTGCTTGTTACCCCTTTATTATCCAAAACTTAACATTTTGTTACCTAATACCTACATGGAGGTACACTACAGAAAGTACACCGTAATTTCGGTTTACTTACAAAGTTATTTGCAGGTTTTATATCTGCTTGTTACCCTTTATTACCCAAAACTTAACATATTGTTCAACATGTTGTGCAATAACATTGCAAAATTCTACCTTTTCAGGTATACGGTTCAACCAGAAATACGTTTTTGGATTATTTTTTCACAACTCGAAAATGTGCAAACTGAACAAAAATAAATGAATATGGTGTTTTACACCATATGTTGCATACCTCTTTTAGCTTCAGGTATGCAAAATATTTTCAAAATACATTTCATTAAAGGGTAAAAACTAAACCAACTTTTTTTTTTTAATAATCTCTAAGACTTAGGCTTTATTATTACTGTTCATTTAATTTTGTGGAAATTTGCGTATAAAATGTTTCAATTCTACAATATATGGTGTAAAAATGTTTGAGTGCTGCCCTCTTCAGGTTGAGCGGTGTCTACTGCAGTTGAATTTTCCTATTGGAAGTTGTGGTGCCCTGTGATGTAAGCAGACACCAGCTAACCATGCCCTTGCCTACAGTGAGATGTGTTTCAGGTGCACATTGTCACATGACTGAATCTGGGTGTTCCTTAAATGCCCCTTAGGGGCCTCCTGGGTTAAAAGTGAGGAATAATGCTTTAAAAAAAAAAAAACTTTTTCAGATGAGCACCAGTATTTGTGACACCCACGTAACAGCGAGTTCTTAGTGAAACTGAAACTGGTTTCAAAAGAACAACTGATTTGATCTTAATAGGAAAGGAATTCCATTTTTTGTGAAAAATGTATGTTGCCTTCTTCAAATATCCATTCTGATTGGTCGATTTTATAATCAGAGTATCCTCATCCTGCAATGTTTAATGTGGTACTTCATTGAAAGATATATATTTTAGATTAAAGTCCCTGTAAAGTCAAAATTAACTATGTGTTCTGAGTTTGTCACACCACAGAAAAATGTGTTATTAGCCACCCGGCCAAATTTAAATGATAAAAAAAGCCGGCAAGTAGGCCTACATAAAATAAGCTATCAAAATCTTGAAAAAATGAGCAGTTATATCTGTTCTCAAACCCTGGGGGCGTGTCCGCTGGCTGTGCTGAAACCACGCCCACTAGCGGGAAAGCTGTCGACGGTGATATTAGGTGAAACTGCTTTCGCGACGGGAGGATGAACACTGAGGCGGGAGATAGTCGTTTCGGCCCTGTTCACCTGTAACAGCGGATTATCAGTGAATTCCAGTTGTCTCTGAGGAAAGTTTAAACTTTCCAGTGTAAAATGATCACTACAGAGGCGGGTGTTGGCGGTGATCCTCAGCTTTTCATCAAGGTTGGCGCTCTAAAACCTCTTCTTGATGTGATCGTTTTTAGGGAATTTAAATGAAGATACCGATCTGTTTTGTACATGATCGCATACAGGTAGCTTATGCATGTCCGTGTCGAAGGCATAGCTAGGTAGCAAACTGTAGGCTCAGCTGTAGTAACTAAAAGTACTGACAGTCACTCGCGATTGAGCGGTGAATGCGAATGTGCTCGGGGAGTGTTATTGTGTGTTGGGGAGAGATCAGACTCTGTGCGTCATCAAATAGGGGCGTCTCCAGGAGCTCATGGGCTCCAGCCCTGTTTTAGCCCCGCCCAAACAATCCGTAAAATTGCAATGGTGAAAAACTGTTTAACGGTCTAACTCCACATTTCAGTACTTCACAGTTCACAGTCTTTGTAATATGTTTTAGCAATACATATGTAACATTTATAATGTGTTTAGAACTTTTTCGTAGAATTGCCTTTACAGGGACTTTAAATGCTTCAGAGAAATTATTTAAAACAACAGTTGATTTATTTTGAGTACATATTTGAGGACACATATTCTCACATTCTGCTGCTATGATTCTTCGAAGAGAAACGTTATATTGTAATTATATATTGTATCTTTCCTAAATTTGCAGACGACTGTTGTATAGGATGAAAATGGGAACACACCAGAGCCCTAAATCACCCAGAGCAACACCATGTAAGTTCTCAGAAACAACTTCTGGGTAGCTTGGAGAAATAGGGTACCTACTAATTAACCAGATGTGAATTGCTTGTAAACTTTAAAATGTAATTTCCCAAAATGAGGCAGATATTTAGAAGACAGGTGGAAGTCTCGCATCATTTTTGAGGTGTGCTGACTAAACCCTCAGATAAAATGTGAAAGCCTGTCAAAGTCAAATGGAGAAGAACGCTGGTATATTCAAATTATTCTTTTGTTTTTGAATTACTTCCTGTTAAATGACCCAGGAAATGGTATTTGCAGTGGTATTTGCAAGAAAAAAAATGTTTATGTTCAAACATTTTCAAATGTTTAAAATGTTTGTATCGATTCAGGTTCTCAATTCGATTCCAATTTTGATTTGATCCATTTAAGCTTTATAATGTTCATTGCGCTTACATATTCTTTCTCTGCCAATTCTGTAATATATACAGGCCAGTCCATTAAAAAACAAAAAAACAAACAAAAAAAAAACAGTGCATAGTTCATTCGTTTCTGAAATGGGATTATGCTGGTTGAGCTCTGTTTTTGATTCACTAAATACAGACTCATAAGAGTCACGAGTATCTCATCACATTCAGTACTCAATTCACAACTCACCCTATCTGCAAGAAGTGCTGTACAATTCACTTAAAATTCTTGTAGGATTTTAAGAATAGAAATCAGCATAGGTTAAATGAAGGGTTAGAATTTATACTTTTGACCAGGCCTATTAGAATTGACAGTACTAGTTGCAATATTCCATATTAATTTGCTTTTCATACTTTTTCATGTTACAGCAATTGTGTTTGTTTCCTCATTCTGCTTACCCGAGGTGAACAATCTTGTGAAAAAGGTAGGTGATTTTGACAAAATGTCATTAAATATGAAATATTAAATGGTAACACTTTATTTTACAGTGTCCTTGTTACAAACTTGTAGCCTACTTAGTATAGTAGTTCAAATAAATATAAAAGCAACTAACCATAAACCTAAGCCCGTAGTAAGTACAGATTGTTAATTAGTTCAAATTACTTTCTAAATTAGTTCAAATTAGTAGTATTGCTTTTTTTGTGTAATTAATTACACTATAACCGTGAAGCCTTAAAATAAAGTGTTACCTAATGAAATCAAAATATTTAGAAATTCTTTTCAAAATCATTCTTAAGTCTTTAAAATGGTATGATGGGTATTAGTTATGAAAATAACTGAAAGACAGATGCTGAAATCCCTGCGCTCAGTGCTTGCTGCTTCATTTTGTTGTTGTGGTTCTCTTTGTCTCTTCAATAACTCTGACCTTTGAGTTTCTGACCTACAAAATGTCCTTGTAAAATCTCTATATCCCGTCACTCCACTGATTGTCCCCTTGTTTATGTACCCTTTCATCTGTTGTGTTCTCCTGATCTACCCACCCTCCAGAGGACTGTGAGAGTGAGGGCAGTATCAGTGGACAGCACGTAGGTGAGAGATTTTACCCTACACACTGAAATGCACTCCATATGGCTTTGGCTCTGGATGGTGCTTTGTTTTGTGGTGTTAATCACTTTAAATAACATCTGTGTTCATTGTGAGCTCTTCGGTGAACTTCACAGCAATCAAGTGCTTTTCACATCCTAAGAACCCAGCCATTGGTCAGATCTTGACAGCCCACTGCTCTGCTGCTAACTTTGGACAACTCCCTCTGAGTTTTAGTCTCAATGTTTTTTTTTTTTTTTTTGTGTGTGCTTTTGGCTAAGAGGAGGATTTTTCTGTGCTTACTCTTTGTGGCGCGCCGCTTACCACTTAAAGGGACAGTTTACCCAAAAAGGAAAATTCTGTCATCTTCATGATATTTTAGTTGAGCCTGAATGCCTTTCTTACTTCTGTGGAAGTAATGTGGAAGTTTATGCTTGCTGTTTTTTTCCCCAAGAATTCTCAAGTCATATAGTATAATACAGCAATTATTATAATCTACCCCTTTGATGTAGATCTCATGTCTCATTTGCACTTTCAGTGAGACAATGATTTGTCATGTCACTTTGAAATAAAACCTGACACATTTTGTCTAAAGGCACCATATTTGCACGCATGTGGATTCAGAGTATGAGCAATGGTGCTTTTTGTCATTTTGGATTTTGATTGCCCCAGTCCCTATTCTTTTTTCTTTTTATGGAAAAAAGCGGCCAGTACGTTCTTCAGGATTTCTGTTTTATTGTTCCATTTCTGCCACATAAGAAAAAAATAAAAAGTCATAATTATGGCATAGAAAGACAATTATGACAAACATTTTGAGAATAATTTCAACCTTATTTCATATTTATGATTTACCAAAGCATGTTTTTTTTTCCTTATATGATGGAAATGAGGTTTCATAGGAAAAACAACAATTTGAAACATTTATTTTTGGATGAACTTTTCATTTAAGTATAAAGCACAGGTGCACTGCTATAGCCAGGGAACATTCTAGCTGCATATGCAACCCACCGTTCCCTGAAGGAGGGAATGGAGGATGGAGTCGACTGAATGGGATCATCCCAGGGACCCAATCATCTTCGAGTACTATTAAATGAACCAATGGAATTTGGCGTGCGTGACTTGCATCACACATCACACATCACACAATCCGTCCCTGCAGCGCTTGTATAAATACGGTGCACGCACTAGTTGCTTTTTCGCTGAGGAGCTGAGCATAACTCGGAGTCAGCGGGGGTCCAGCAGCAGTGTCAAGGTGACTACGTCCTTTGTTCCCTCTTTCAGGGAACGGTGGGTTGCATACGCAACCAGGACGTACCCTTTAAGTCGAGAATGTCAGACGTAGTCGACAGGAGACTGAATGGGATCACCATTGAAAACGCCAGTATTGCTGCCACCTTCTAGTGCCTGGATAAACGCCTCCTGATCCTTCCCCATCTTGAGGTGGAGATGGAAGGGCTTAGGCCAAGGAAGTCACTGCTGTTCCATGCATACGAGTGATAGGCCTGGCTTTGGACATTCCGCCACGTCCGTTGACAAAGGGTATGGAGGAACTCGACAGGGTTCAGCTAATAAGCGGAACTCTACTGGAGCAAGAATTGCACATGTATTCAGTCCACAGGAGAGAAATGGCGCAGCAAGCCGACACTTCGAACCAGGCTTACAGTGAAACTGGCTTGATGTGAAGGGAGCTAGCAATACAGAGACAACAACATTTTGAGGTGGAGGAGACAGCCCTTACTCCAACCCATTTGCAGTAAAGAAGCTCTGGAGTGATCGAACACCTTCATGCCTGTGCCATCACGCAGGTTCCATCATGCCCCATCCCTGAGGATGAGGAAGGAGTCAGGAAGGGCTGTCAAGATGAGAGGTCTGGTTGGGCCAATAAGGGGCAATTAGCAAGACCTGCTCCATTTCCTTCCTGATTTAGCACAATTGTGTGTAAGAAGGCTCCCTGGGGAAAGCATTTCTTTAAGGGGCCCCGGGGCCAGCTGTGGCCAGAGTTTTTTTCTGTGTTAAGAGATTTCCACTCAGACATGAGAAAAAAGAACAACTGGCGGAGGGACGAGTCCGGAGGGGCAACAGATGTAACTGTGGGGCCCCGAAGTGGTCCTAAACAGCTGGACTACCTGGGGATGGAGTCTCCACTCTTCCTGGGCCATAGGCTGTCATGAGGCTTATCAGTGTTATGATTGAGGCCATAAGGCCATAAGTAATAAGTGGAATAAAGTGACCTCAGAAGCTTCTGACTCCGAGGAGGAGGTGGCGGGTGAGTTGTGACAACTGCAAGCAACTCGAGACAATGGATGTCAATGCACTACTGCATGCCCTTTGTACGTGGCCCCTCAGCCGATATTGGTGGACACTTGTTCTAAGGACTGTTGGCCTGGAGAAACAAAAGGTCTGTTATGGACTGAGGGTTTGGCAGAAGGCCAGGGTGCTTTTACACAGAGTGTGCCGCTCTGCCATGGCCACCTCGGGACTCGGCCGCGAAGTCAGTGCTGAAGCGGTCTTCGTATGGAGGAAGCCGAGCATCTGCATCTACCATATGCCCCAGGAGCCTCTTGAAGAGTTTCAGTGAGACCCTTTCTCACCTCTATACAGCACTAACCATCCACACACTCTTTTTCAGAGATGCAGTGGGCCGAATCCATCTCCAAACTATAATTTTTTTCCACTATTTTTAGGAGCATATTTGATCAACACATAGGTGTGATGAATATCATTAGCTTGGGCGAAAGCAGAGCGAAAAGGAATCGCAAGCCGTGTCTGATGGTATAGTTTTGGGCCACCTGGACCGGTTGGGAAGCATTTTTTGGCTTCCACGAACCGGGCCAGGGGACGACAGACGTATCTGAGGTGGGGCAGCGAGGTGGAGGACAGGGACCTGGCTCGGAAGGCCCGAAGGCAGCCCGAAGCAGGGTCTGAGTGTGGTGCACAACACTTACCTGTCTCCATGAGATGTCCAGGGATGCATGAGAAGGTGGGTGACCAAGTCCTCAAACCACACCCAGCTACCGTGCTGGCGAACAAGAGAGATGGCCTCTGGCCCCACCTGGGGAGAGGGAGTGGATTGGTTCTCCAAGAACTCCAAGAGCAACCTCCTCCATCCTTGAGCAGCCTGCTCAGAAATACTTTCGCTGTCGCTTGCCACCTGGCTTGGCAACACCTGGAGTGGGCTGGACGTCCCTACTGCGGCCAGCTCCATGCTGAGGCCTGGCTGGAGTCTGCTGCGAAGGCAGTGGTAGGGGTACACCCTCAGGGATGAGCAGACGGAAGAACTGCCCCCGGCGGCGGTGTGTCGGATTGCCTCCACCTGTGTGTGCTGCAAATCACGCATGCCAAATTCCATTGGCTCGTTCAATAGTACTCGAAGATGACTGGCTCCCTGGCGTGATCTCATTCACTCGATGTCGACTACGTCTGACGTTCTCGACTGAAAGGGAACTATTGCTTTGGGCTAATGGCTCACGCAGGCTTTGGCATGGCTGATAGCTCATGATAGTCTCTATAGATTTATGCTGGATGTGTGATGGTCTAACATTAGTTGTAGTTTCTCCAAAGTGTAAGGCGGTGGCACCATCCTGTGGCCAGGCCTTTTCCTGGGAGTTTTACTCAGGTACCATGTTTCTTTCATACTTGTAAGGTAAATAGATGCTTTGCTGCTTTAACTTATTCAGTGCTATTAAATTGTACAAAGCAGATGAACAGCGTGCTGCTATTTGACCCTGAGATGAAGCTGTTACATAAAATCAGCTGCAGTGTGAGAGATGTGATATTTTTAGTCTGGAGGATGCACCTCTTTCCACCCTTGTCTTATTGTCTGATCTTTGTATCATGTTTTGTATTAAATCTGTCATGTCTATGCCTGATCTTGTTTTTTTAGATGTTCTTTTCCTATTTTGATATTGGAAAAACGTTCTGCTCTCACAGCTGGTCTAAGGAGAAGCTTCAGGCTAAGCCGCAAGGATCATCAGGGTTCTACCAAAGAGTCTCTTTCAGCGGAGTCTGCAGAGAATGAGTTCCTCATTTATGAAGAGGTGACCCTATATCAGATGAGACCTCAAGATAAACCAAGACTTGTGGTGCTGATAGGTAAGATTCGAGGGATTTCAGAGCAATCTAAATGACTAAATCTTTGCTCGTCTTCAGAATGTAATGGGTGAGTGGATGCAAGACTGGAGCGTGCGTGTTGTTTGCATGAGTGTTTTTTCTATCTTTATTCCTCTTTTTCTTTGTTGTTTTAGTTTTATTTAAGGCATTTGTTATCTTTAGTGGTGTGTTTTAATTGGGTTAGTTTGTTGGTGGTGGCGGCGGTTCATGGTGTGGGAGGTTTTGGGCTGGAAACGCTTACGCGTCAACATGCTTTTAAACTTTGCCCAACTATAGACTGTTCTGTGGAAGATTGCGCTCTGGCAGTTGGAGGAGTTATTGGTTATGATAGCATTAAATCCGCATCTAGGGTGAACAATGGAGTTGTGTTTTTTGTTGATAGTTTTGACAAAGTTGCACCAATTGTTGAACAAGGTGTAAGGTGAGATGCAATTTGATGACAAATCTGAAGATAATGGTAAGAAAAGAAAAGCTAGAGATGAGTTTCAAATCTCTGGAAAAATGGGGAAATTGCCTCTTCATGGTTGCTCTCAGGCTTCTTATAGTGATTCTGAGATAGGCTCTGATAATGACTCTATAGCTGTGTCCCAATGTGAAGGACGCGTCCTTCAAAGGACCCAGCCTTCGGAGGACACTCCGAGTGTAGCCTTCCTGGGATTCCTAATTGCACAACCAGGTGTTCCCTATTACCGGTCCTGGCGTGGCGGCAAGCAACAGTGCGAGAGTAGGCTACAGCCACCACCCTGATCATTCATTTAATAAAATTGAGTAAACAGCTATGGCGACAGAATTGGCTATTGTCATTTTTTGTTTTGTTTTATAGACTATTTTCAATGGATATTTTATGTTTTATATTTTCATATATATATATATATATATATATATATATATATATTATATCACATAATTTCAATTCCCAAAAAATATTTCGATATATATGTTTTCGGCTTAAAAGTTGGCCAGAGCTGGTTTACTGCATAGTAAGAGGCTGCATCCTGAATAGCCAGATTACACTCTAAACTGTTCAAATATTGGGTGTTAACATACGTAAATAATGTAATGAAATAGCCTAAAAAATATTAATGATAAAAAAAAAACATAGGCACATAGCCTATATTCAAATGTTAATCGTAGCCTACCTTGATGCGATTTTGTAGGCGATTTTGTAGGGTATTCTTTTTATTGTCTACAGAAATGGACCATGATGAATATATTTATACAGGCTGTCAATCCTATTTGAATATTTTAAAGCAGATGGATATAAAAAGTCCAGTGCAAACGTCCTTACTCCCGCTCGTCGTGGTCAGCTGTCAGTCACAGTTGCTAGGCGACAAGAACAACCCTCCGCAGGCTAGACCGGTGTTCTGTCGATTTTTCCTGCCTTGTCGAAAAATGCTACCGTAGCGCGAATTGATCACAGAATGCCGATTAGTCGTATGAAATACAATTATAATACTAAGTTATGAGTAGCTACTGTATAATGTAGACTACTGATTTTATTTTTAAAACGGTGTGAAAAGTAAAAATTATCATAAAATATTCATCTTTGACTTGTCAAAGTACACCTTTTCTTATAGTAACTGAAACTTTCAGTTATTCCTTTTCAGCTGGCTGACCGTACAAATATGCATATGGTAGTAAGCATTTTTTAAAGGGAAATTATACATTGTAACAGGAAAATGTACCTTTTGTAAAAAAAACAACAAAACAAACAAAAAAAACTGTGAGTCTGCACATGCGCATAGCAAATCTCGATGGGTAGCATGAATTGTCAGAACACCGGTCAGAGCGCTTCAGGTGCGCACATTGATATGGGACGCAGTTGTAGTTAGCAACAATTTGTTAATATTATGACAATGGACCAACATTTTGTTACTTTAATTTTTAAAATAGCCAGTGGGAGAATGTAAGGAACTTCATACTGCGTTCGTATTCATGTGCCAAGTAGACTTAGCCTATAGCCTACTTTTCCCCTCACAGGACAGCAACATTTTACTTTAAACACAAAAGTATATCCTTTAAATGTATCAACCTTGCAAACACTCAGAGACCCTTACAAAAATAATCAAATATCCAGAGCCATAAATTCTCTTTTATGTACACATTTAAAGTTGCATAAATAATGAATATAGGCCTAATAAAGAAATAATGTAGCTATAGGCTATAATGTCGTTTTCGCGTTTCCACATAACAAATGAAGCACGCAATGGTAAATGAGTTAAGATGAATAAGAAAAAAAAGAAAAAAAAAGAAAGAAAAGAAAAAAAAAGGCAGCGAACTGCGAAGGAGGCAGCCTATTCGGCCTTCGAAGGATGTAGCTAATTGCGCAACCAGGTGTTGCCGATTACCACTCCTGGCGCCAAGCAACAGTGCGAGAGTACAGCTGCCACCCTGATAATTCATTTAATACAATTGAGTAAATAGCTATGGGGACAGAATTGGCTATTGTCATTTTTTAATATATAATATTTTACTGGAGGGAGCAGGGCCCTGCTCTCATGTCCTCCAGTAAAATATAAAAATAAAAAAAGACAATACAGCAATATATATATATATATATATATATATATATATATATATATATATGAAGAGTTCAGATGCAAAAGCCTCCAAGTACCATTTGAAATTCTCTTCTAGAATAATCATTTTTATCAAGCTTGTATATTTAAATTCAGTAATTTCACTTAAATGGCAATTCATAGGTAATCTTCATTGCCATTTAAGTGAAATTACTTTACCTAAATATACAAGCTTGATAAAAATTAACATTCTTGAAGAAAAATTCAAATGGCATTTAGAGGCTTTTGCATCTGAACTCTTCATATATATATATATATATATATATATATAGCCTATATAATATAAAACTAATATTTTATTTACTGTGGAGACTGAGAGCCAACCCTTCTTCATCTGGTCTATTACTGTGGTTTGCACAGTGTAATTCACAGGCTACCTTGATTTGATTTCATTGGCTAGTGCTTTTAATTGTGTACAGAAATGGACCATGGTGAATATATTTATACAGGTTTTCAACCCTATTTGAATATTTAAAACCAGTTGAATATAAAAAGTCCAGTGCAAGGTTGCGGTAACATTACTCCGCTCGTCATCGGCAGCTGTCGGTCACAGTTGGCGCCAAGAAAGAACAATAGACTATGTGCACGGCTACTTCCGGCTGCGAAACCGATAGGGGGTGTCTAGTTTCCAGTAGCCTGATGGACGATGAAGAGGATGTATATTTCTTCAGATGTCTTGAACATTTGCCGAATATTACAGTCGATTATGTTCATCGACTGGCTAATGATTTTTCTCCAGCTCCCCAGAGCAAACACGAACAATACCGGACAAGGGAGTGAAGACAGGCAGGAACTAAAATACACAGTGACGATGATTACAAAATGACAAGCAGCTGTGCGGGAGGTGATGAGTGTCCATGGCAACAGATGAGGGCGGAGAACTCAGATGAGGGGAACACGTGGCGAATCAAAACACACAGATAGTCCAAGGGTGGTGACAACATCATGATGGCGCAGCAAAATTTAAAGGAGCATTTCATCCATTGCAACATTAATCTTTATTGAAAGTGGATCATATATGTAGTCAAAATGTAAAATAATTGTTTAATTTGGTGCCCTCTTGACCGAGAAAAGACAGAAAATAACCAAGGGGCGCATTTGTGTTAAAAAACTATAGTACACAGAATGCCACTGCATTGCACAACTCCGCAAGCCACACCCACTAACCCACCCATCTACCGGAACAGCGCAGAGAATTCACTCTTCCGTCTACAACGCTAACATTAGCTGTCACCAGTAAGAGTAAGAGTTTGAAATTCATTTCAAACAAAATGTCTAGTTAGTTGGCTGTGGCGAGCAGGACGATCGAGGGCGAGGGATGTAAGAGGACGGCGCGCTGCGTGAGGCCGGTGGCGTGAGTGATAATGAAAGACAACTGTTAGGCGCATGCCGGTGCCTCTCTCACGAAGGAGCGAATGCATAAAATGGGGAGCGACGACGGCAGATCGAGAGAGAAACAGGCCTGATTTTATGTTTATTTGTTTCTGTTGTGTGTAACGCTGGCTTACTTTTGTTTTGTATTTGCTCATTTTACTATTAAAATGTTTAAATGTTCGCCGGTTCATGCCTCTTTCTTCCCACAACAACAAACCCAGTTCACGTTACATTTGTAAACACATTAGTGAATTGCTCCGCGTTTGTATTTATTTCTGTATGGTGAATTACTGCATGATACCTGGATGTTCTGAAGGCGAAAATATCACAACACAAACGTCCGTGTGCTCGTCTGATTCAGAGCTTTCCTCCAGGAGAAATTGCCATCGTTGAAATTTTCTGCAGCAGACGGACTCTGTGTCCGTAGGTCGTAGCACGCAGCGAGAGCACAGGCAACCGCAATCTGCCCAGCGCCAGAGTCAGTGCGGGGTCCTCGAGCGTGACAGGCCGCCGCCTCGGCGTCTCCTGCTCCTCCATCAGCCTCAGCTCCTCTAAACTATACTGCGCCTCGTAAACTATACAGCTGCTCTAAACTATAGCCACGAACATCGGATTCGAGCAGCAGAATTTCAAAATCCTTTTCTTCCATATCATGTTTAGTTTCTTCCATCATTATCATAACTTCATATCTCCACAGGGATTGTTAGCTTAGCTTCCAAACAAGATGGCGGATATTGATTTCAGTTTCTGCAAGTGAAGTCCTACCCACTGATCTGTAATAGGCCTGTGGGTGAGTGGGTGCCACACCCTTGAATAATAATGAGCTAATCATTGTAGTCTGTTGACATTTCAATGAAATGTGACTTCCTGCTTATCGTAACGCAAAATGACGATTTTTACGTCACGATAAGCAGGAAATTAAGCAGCACTTAAATCCTCATTTCTCCCATCTCGGGGGGAAATAAGGGGATAAACCATGACCATTCAAAAATATGACTGGGTTTCTGACGTACTGACATAGTGGGTGTG